AAAGCACCACTGGCAGGGGCCAGCGCTGACTCCTCTGTCCTCTTCTCCCACTGAGTCTGTGTGGGTGCACGCTGCTCCATAGAATTACCTTGTGTCTCTCCTCGTCTCCCGGCTGAACATCTGAAGTGCGCATGCGCCCGGCCCAAGATCCTTTGCGGCCGTCCGAGACTCGTCAGATGTTCGGACGGAAGCACGCAGTGAAGGCACAGGTAAGTTTAAACCTGTTTTGAAAAGGTTTTTTGTTTTATTTACGTTTATGCATATATCTACTGCTTGCTAGCTTGCTTGCTACGTGCAAAAACACGCTGAGGGTTTAATAATCCTTAAATGAACAAGAAAGAAAATGCTTTTCTGTAGAAGAGTAGGAAAAGGCTTAAATCCCTGACAGATTTTTATTTCTGTGTACCTGTTGCAGATTTTCCCTTTACATCCTCTCTGTTAAAACTGTTGTCAGCAGGACAGTAAATGAGGGAAATCTCTCCAATAAAGTCCTTGACAATAGTAAAAACCCAACAGTGGTTCTAAATCTTCTCCGATCTATCACAAATTAGAAAAAAAGGTTTTTGGCTTGACATACACAAAAAATTGTGTTGAGGCCATATCAGCCCTCAAATTACAGGTGAAACTCGAATAATTAGAATATCGTGCAAAGTTCATTTATTTCACTAATGCGACTTAAAAGGTGAAACTAATATATGAGATAGACTCATTACATGCAAAGCAAGATAGTTCAAGCCGTGATTTGTCATAATTGTGATGATTATGGCTTACAGCTCATGAAAACCCCAAGAACCCCAAATCCACAACCTCAAAAAAGTAGATTATTACATGCAATCAATAAAACAAGGATTGTACATAGAACAATATGGGACCTCTGAAAAGTACAAGCATGCATATGTACTCAGTACTTGGTTTGGGCCCCTTTTGCAGCACTTACTGCAATTACTTTTGCACGATATTCTAATTATTCGAGTTTCACCTGTACAATTAAAAGTCAATCTCTAGACTTTGGCGCTTGCCTACTGGAGCTGTAGAAAGCTTTAAACTGTATATAACACACCTTAACAATGAACCACTCTTGGGTGCTACCCTTTGGTCTATATAATATACCTTTGAAAGGGATTTGTTATATCTGTTAGAGAAGTTCCAATCAGCGGCGTATTTAACTTTGCTGCTGCCCTAGGCAAGGCAGCAACGCCGCCCTCAGCGAATCTGCCGCTCCAGGCAAACGCCTTGTTTGCCTCGCGGCAGATACGCCCCTGGTTCCAATAATACCTGAAAATGATTGCAGTCTCCACATCTAAGGAGTAATTGGCTGCAAGAGATAAAAAAAATTTGTTCCCGAGTTGTCTGTACCTTGTTAAATGCTTTGTAAATGTCTGCTGGAACGGATGGCCTTTACTAGCTAACAATGTCTGTGTGTATGGCAACTAAAAATGTGGGTGGCACTCTTCAAGATCGAAGGTGATATATTTTCCTCGTCAACTATCTGCGTCTAGGATTGAAAAATAAAAATATGGTACAACATAAGAAGGTTGTATCCTGTCAATGCTTGTGACTCAGTATTGATTAAGCTTGCAGGAGTTACTTTTACTTAACTACTTGTATAGCCAGAAGCGAATTCAATTGTCCTCTGTACATTGAAGATTTTAATGAGCTAGCACATCGACCTGCTGGATCAGTCTGGAGAGCTGAAATAAGCAATCACTTGAGTATGTGAGCAGAAAAGACCCAACTAATTCACCGTATAATCATTCTGAGAGGTTACTTGAACTGGAGAATGTCCAAACTGGGAAGAACATTCAAAATTAATATTTTGTGCTAGCCCTTTTTTCTCCATTGGTTTTGGCAGTAAAGGGGCTGCAATAAAAATAACTCCTGATTAAGAAAGGACATTGCAGAGAACACTACGTGAAAATCAATGCAAATGCATGCTATGTATTAAGCGATCGGGACTCTTTCAGTATTACCACATCTTACAAAAATACGTTTTTAATCCTCCAGGGAACCAAGTGCATGTACCACTCAGTCACGTTCTGATCTGTCCTGTGGTTATGCGATAAAAGAATATTGGGGGGAATTTATCAAAACTGGAGCAGGCAGAATCTGGAGCAGTTGCCTGTAGTAACCAATCGTTTTATCATTTTCCTGTTTGCTAAAAATGGAGAAGCGAAGCTTGAATAGAGGTGGTGGTGGTGGTGGGGGGAGGGGAGGAATGTGAGACATCTTTTGTCTGCCACATACAATGCTGTTTTAACACCTCTCTCTGGGCAGGTTAAGAACACCTCCTAGACTCCGATTATGCAAATGCAATCAACGCCTGGTTGTAACTAACAAATTATGTGGATTGGAATGACATTTATTCCAAGAGAATTTTTGGTACAAGTCATTCTGGATTGAAAAAGCTGGTTGGATGACCAGTGAAACGTCTTCAAGAAAAATACAGCAAGTCCAGTTGCCTTGACTTATTTTTTACAGATATACCATGACCTGGAGGAATGAGAACCTTCACAGAGAAAATATAAAGGTTTTATTACAAAAGAAATTACTATGCTGGGACCCCCTCCCAGCATAGTAATTTATTTTTAATAAAACCTTTACATTTTAAGAATTGAAGGCACCCATGTGAAGGGAGCCTTAAAAGAGAACTATAGGGTAAGTGTTTTTCCCCATAGTCCTCTTTAGGGTCACGGGAAGACATATACTAACCTCCTCCCGTGACCCGAAGCTCAGCATATCGTGGCCTATTGTGGGCTTGGGCTCTCTACTGAACAGAGAGCAGGGAAACGACCGGGAAGTGCGTGGATCGGTGCATGTTTCTGCTCACTTCCCGATCAATAGAGCCGACCTGTGACAGCTTCTTTGTCACAGGTCGGCTCTAACTATGAGGATGAGTTCTCTCATAGTTCTCTTTTAAGGCTTTAGGCACAGGAGTTTCTAGGCACGCTCACACTGCTATTTCTCATAAGGCATTAAAGACAAAGGGTACATTTCTCAGGGTTCTGATTAGCCACAATTAACATTTATAAATGTTCCATAAAACATAGCAAATCTTTTTGAGCTCCTTTTTTTACTTTCGGCTACATTTGCAGCACATTAGAATACACATGACCTTCACAATGTGAATAGTCTTCTGTGCGTTGAAAGTGATTGGTGCTATATAAATTAATTAAAGGGTTCTTGATGACAAAGTTAAGAGGGAAATTACATGCGAGCAAACACCACCCATATGAATAATATCAGGCCATGTTCACTTGGCATTTCTGTGTTTTAAATGTGAGCTTGAGAAATATTTTGAGCAGTCCTGTATGTGAGGATCCACATACCAGTAGCCTTGGAGAGCAGAGAAGAGTGCTGTCTGCCAGGTTCTACTGAAAGATGACACAAGAGTTTAGCTCCGGCTTCCAGGTGCTATAATCATCACTATTGCAAATGGGTCTACTTTTTGTTCAGATGGCCTGGAATAGTCACCGGGTTTTGAGCTACAATAAGTAAATACATTTTCTTTTCCTTGAATTAAAAAAACAAAAAATATGAAAGCAAATAATTAGCTTTTATTATGGTTCATTTATTCCTAAATTCTGTTTGCTTTTGTGCTCTCCTTTGAACACATGCATTATTCACATAGAAGAGAGACTGCTTTCTGTATTAAATGGTTTTATTGCCAAACAAAAAATAACAAAAAAACTTGGTAATCTGAAAGGCGTAACTTTTTTTTGTTAATGTTTAAAACTCCATAACATTTAGCTTTGTATTTTTCCACCAAATTCCATATTTTCCTTTAAACGCCAAATATATTTAGTGATGCTGAAAATGCTCTCATTATTCCATGACACAACTATTTTGTTTTGTGCATATACAGAACATTTATAATGTATGATATCTCTGCCAGCATTTACACCAAGGTGTTTTCCGTTGATGTGCGTTATGTCACATGGTAATGCCCAATTGAACTTTCCGCTTAAATCCACTAAATTCATTCCAGGCGCATCAAAACAAAAAAAAATTGTATGCAGATAATTTTCTTTAGAAGGCAGCCACAGAGGACAAGCCTGTCCTCTGCCAACATGCTGTAGATTGGACACTTGTTCCCTGTGTGAAAACCACTATTCTCTCTGCAGTGGTCCTGTACACTCCTGATGAATTAGGCCCATAGCTCTTCAATAAGCTAATCTCGTACTCCCTGCTGATTGGATGGCTCAAGTTCTGACTCAGCAGGGGGTGTGGCAGAATTCTGCAGAGAGACCGCTGCATCTTAACCCAAAGCAAGGGTCCTTCTTTGCAGCATTCTGACAGGGGAAATGCTTTTCTATAGAGACTGATGCTGCTTTCTAAAGTTGATAAACTGTAATAATTTGCACATTCTTTGTTCTGATGCACCTGGAATGTATGATTTAGACTAAAATTTCAGTTGGCCAATGCACCAAAATGACCCTGAAATCAGACAAGCCCTTTTTTTTTCCGATGCAGTCCATCATTTGTGGGAATCTGTGTACAAGAGTGTCAGACACAGAAGCAAGCCAAGTCATGCTTTCAAGGAAAAATTGCTTGCATTCTGACTACAGGAAGAAAAGATGCGGAGCAAAATAAAAAGTGAATACTGGTCACCAAAATCCAATCCAAAATGTAACCAGTGGATCTCAGATCCGTCACAAATACAGCAAAACACAAATATAGTCAGGAGCATACACAGTCAATGAAGGATTGTTATGACCAACATACACACCTACCTTTTTATTCCTTGGGGGTCATATTTTTTCCAGAACAGAGCAGGATTTCGTCTCAAGGAGAGCACAGCCCACATACAACATGTCCATTTTATTGCAGAAGAGAACTCTAGCGCTCCACAGATAAAAGTGTATAGTGTGAAAGAGTTGTGGAACTGTCAGGGCACTTTTTGTGCTGCTTTTGTTTATAAATAAAATTATAAGAGAAAGCAGAATGAAAATATTAAAAGTTTTGCTTAAAAAAATAATTTGAGGTAGATTTCTTGTTTTTACTGTCTTTTTTGTTTTTGTTTTAACTAAACAGAACTTTCATCCAACTTTTCAACCAACTGCGTATGTTTCCTTTTCTCCAAGATCTTGCTAAGCTCCTCCGTGAATGAATTGTACAAAGGAGAACTTGCCTCCTCACTCTGTCTTAAAAGCATGTAACTGTTACCGTTCATTTTTCTCAACATGTTAGGCAGGGTACTGATCCCATTGGTGAACTCTGATGGTAAAGGAGGTGGTGGTGGTGGAGGAGGAGGATTTCTTTTGGAGGGAGATGCAGTTGGTGCCTCGCCAGGAATGATCTGAAGACAGCCGTCGGAATAATTGTTCAATTCCTCAGACTTGTCTTTAAAGTTTGAGGACACTGTCTGAAGTTCAACGCTGGTAATCAGAGAATTGCTCATTGCATATTTACCCTTTCTTTTTTGCTGGCAAGAAACATACAATAAAACTATAGAAAGGACTAAGCACAGTCCACCAAGAACTGTGATGACAGAAATGTAGACAAACTCCAGTTTGGAAGAAGATTGAGTTGCTGGTGTTGGTAATTGGACGATAGGGGTAGTTTCGGATGTTTTCTCCCTCGGCAGATCTAGTAGAACATTGACGCTATACGATACAACTATGGACTGCAAGCCTTTTTCCTCAGAGTAACAGTCATATTCACCACTGTGTTCCAAAAAAGCATTTGTGATGAGGAGTCCATCTACTCCCACTCGAAGGTGACCATCATCATCTTCCAATGGGTCGGTGCCATTCAATAGCCAAAGAGGCTTAGCCAGGTTAGACCAAAGGTCACACTGCAGAAGGACATCATCTCCTTTCAAGACCGTTCTCAGTTTCTTTATTGGAACTAAAAACAAAAAGATATATATATATATATAAAAGAAAAAAATGTAAGGCTGCAGACTTAGCCTACCTGTTGCTCAAGAATAGAAAAGGGAAAAATGTCATGAGGTATTAGGAGACTTCAAATGGAAAAGAATCAATAAGAGGTCTGAAGAGGCTACATATATTAACTGCTCAATGAAGCACAAATACTGTCTTTTCATTCTCTCCTATACTTAACCTTCCTTCTCCTAGCCTAATATTGATTTATCTGATATGATGCAGAAAATCCCGGATGGAACAATTTGACAGAGTCTAGCAATGTATAAAACTGGTAACCTATTTCTAATAAAACAAAACATGCTCATGCCAAATAAAAAATATTAACAGATAATGTAGCATTGCAGACCAAACACCTAAGATGAAAAGAATCATTTAAGAGTTGCAGAATATTTGTTTAATACCGTTCTTACCTATACAGTGAGGACATAGAGAATATTTCTGTGTCCTTGTGGAGGTCTCTGCATCCTACTCCCTAGGACACTCACTAAGCTCCACCTACCGTCTTTGAATTGTCAAATGGCAGTAATTTGTCTGGCCACAGAGGTTCTGACAGTTGAATGACTTTTTTAAATGATTTGACCAGAAGTCAAAGCCTTCTGTGCAGCCTGGGTTTATAATGCAGAGGGTCTTCACACATACATTAATTTATAGATTAAAACAGATGATACATTTAAAAAAAAAAGTGCCCCATTTATACAGGGCAGTACAATCCTATTGCTTTTGACAGACTTGCCATAGCTTTTTCCTATTTTCAATTTGATATTTCAATCAACTGTATTGAAGCTGTCAATTTATTGCCCAGTTTTGACTTCACAATTGACTGAATTGTGATGGTCGATTTCTTAGTTTCTGGTACATGCGGTCAATGTATTTGTGATTCCGAGTCACTAAAAGTGGTTAATATAAAACAAAACAAATGCCACATATATAGCCAGTCCATCCTAATATTTTGTATTTAAATGAAGATATTTAACCTAAGTGGTCAATTGCTGATTGGTTCCATTCTGGCTTCTCCCCATCCCTATAGCTAGAGCCTCATATCTCATCATACCATGATATTTCTGAATGCCTGAAGTCTGATATGAAAAAAAAATGAAGGCTAGTTGGTTTACTGCCCGAAATACCACTTTTCTCTCAGTTCACTGTAGGCTTGCAGACACTCCCAGATTGCACATAGACGCATATAACAGGTGCCTTTTGACAACACATGCATTTTAACCAGTAGAAAAGCTATATTGCATAGCTCAGTGTTTTCATCCTGTGTTTTAGGCACTAGGAGGGTTTTAGGCAGCTAACAAGAAAAGAGCACACGGAGGATTACACTAGTAGGTTTTGTGAACCAGTATTTTAAAATAGATTATTTTTTTTTGATTAATACAGAAATAGGCTAAAAAGGGTCTTTATATTTCCCTTAAGATGTGATTAACCTTTTTATTCTAATGTATGCAGAGCCAGTTATTTTTTCCATTTTTAGCTCCATTCAAAAAATGCTTCTGTTATGGCAAATCAGTGTATAATTTGACTACATTAAGTAATCACCAGATGTTTAGGAAATTGTTCTTCTAAAATGTATTGTACTTTGTATTCTGTGATTTGCATAGACTCAGGGGAGTATCAACCATATGAAAATGCAACAACAGCAGATGCTATTCTAACATGTGCTCCCTACGGGGCAGTACTGTACCTGTAACTTGGTCTCTGGCACTGCTGTCCAAGTTTTCTAATGAGCATTTCAGGCTGAAGGTGTTACTGACACTTGCAGCAGCACAGTCTCTCCAGTTTGTTAAAAGAGAGCTATCGGAAGTCATAATACACAGTGGAGCAATGATACTTTGTGGATGCAGCTAGTCATGTACATACATGGGAAAGTAAAATGTTCTCAGCTGTATGATTTAAACTAGGCTTTACAGCTGTTACTATATGATACATAATTGTCTTAAAAGGACTTTTATTGTTAATTGTAATACAAAGTTGAGCAAATTTATATTTTAAGGTTAATCACATCTTAAGGGAAATATAAAGACCCTTTTTAGCCTATTTCTGTATTAATCAAAAAAAAATAATCTATTTTAAAATACTGGTTCACAAAACCTACTAGTGTAATCCTCCGTGTGCTCTTTTCTTGTTAGCTGCCTAAAACTATTTACTATTCCTGGCTGATGCATGCCTTGCAACCTCCAGTTCTCAAATCAGTTTCTGTAGTCCAAGCAATTAAACTTGACCTAAACGTGTGAAGGAAGGGTGCAGAGGCAAACAACTTGTTCCATCATTGTAAGATATCTGCCATTCTTCTAGTCTGCTCATCCTTAAAGGACTGAAGTCTGTAAGCAAGCATGTCTAAAGGGATGCCAGAGATACTACTTTATTATTTTCTTGCTTGCATTTGAGGTTATCAAAGTCATAAGCAAGGAAATAAAAACTGGCAAAATTTTGAGGATCCCAGCTATAAAGCAGAAAAGAGCAGCAACAAGGTGAACATTTATATTTCCAAACTTGCATGGATAGTAAATGAAGAATATGTGTGCTCATTCCTAGAAGCATAATAATGTAATGCTGCCATTGATTGTACACACATAGCAGTGACAGTTTAAACAGAAAAAGTAAATCCCTCTAGGGAATCAGTGTCCAGCTGGAGGCCCAATAATAGTTTAGATTTTTTTCCTTCAACCTCCCTGGCTGTCTGATTGTGTCAGTATTTTTTCTTTTTTCTATTTTTCACTTTTTAATTTCCCGCCGGTTCCGCCCCCCTGCTACGCCGGCGCTCGCAGGGAAGGAACCCAGAAGACGAATGCCGGCATCGGCCGGAGGACACAGCAGGGCTCGTAGGGACAAGGTAAGTGACGCTACAGTGTAATCCCGAGTGTGGCTCGGGGTTACCGCTTTTGGTTCTGAAAATAACCCCGAGCCACACTCCGGATTACATCTAGGGAGGTTAAGGTATATCCAAAGCCAAAACTTCTTGTTTTGGTTTGGATAGAGTATGTAATGGTTAAAACCCCTGTCTGTTTCTTCCTTACTGTCTGCAAAATGTAATTTCACTTCCTGTTCCAGAGATACAATAGTAAGCGAGGGCAAATCCATCTTAGGCCCGTTCACACCAGGGCGGTCTCGGCCGCGCGGATCCGCCGACATGAACGATCCCATACATTGCTATGGGGACCGTTAGGGGACCGCAAGGCTCTGAGCGATCCGAATAGCTTCCTGATCCTTTTTTGCCGCGCTGATCAGTATGGTTTCCATACAGCTTTCAATGGAACCGCGTTGATCAACGTGGTTTTGGGAGTTTTTAATTACGTTTCAACACTGAAATGCAATTAAAAATTCCCAAAACCTCCCTTTTGAAATCTGCAAGGAAACCGCACTGATCCGCAGCCACCCTGGTGTGAATGGGCTCTTAGACCTGTGGCAGTGTAAGCCAATACCACGGTGGAGGATGGCGACCTTGGCACCCAGGACTCTCAGCCAAAGGGGCTGAGAGGGTCCAGAAAGTAAAGCAGGTTATCAGGAAGAACCTGGCTTTTCAGGTTATTCCAGGTTTTCCTATTTGTAGCTGGGATCTGGAGCTCTGGAGATTTCGTAGAGCTCTGGGTGGGATGAGATCTCCAGTCCTGGGGCCAGGTGTTGCCAATGACCAGCCTGGGCTAATCAGGTGGCTGAGAGCAGCCTTATCAGGAAGCCAGCCGAGTGCTCAGAGAGTGTTGGAGTTGTGTGTGTGCAGGGAGCACACGGACACAGACCACCTCGGGTGCATGCTAGACGCACACGGAACAGCCAGGGGTGGCTGGGAGAGGTCAGGAAGGTCGGTGACCCTAGGACCTGAGGTACAGACTGCTAAGAGAGCAGAGTGAGGGCTCACGAGGGGTGAGCAGCGTGAGTGTCTTGAAGCTGAGGAAAGCTACAGAGCCATAACAAGGACTGTCTTATGTTGCTGTTTCAAGCTATTTTGTGTTTGCCCTTTTAATAAACTGCATTCTACTTGATTTACTTGGACTACAGTGGAGTGTCCTTGTTACAGACCATTGTCACCAAAAAAAGATATCCTGTTTGAAAGATTTCCTTACACCTTCTGTTCTAATGAATGTAGAATGTTGTATTTCCCATCAAGTTCAAATAGGTAGTCTCTCTAGCAGGGCACAGATAGCAGTTAAAAAATCTGACTCAGCTTTCACTTTTCTCTACTCTTACCAAAAGTAAAAGAAATATTTTGGCGTTATACACTGTATACTTTAAGACACCTTTATTTTTTTTACTCTAAAGGGAATGTTTTCCTTCAATTTCCTCCTACTATTGCACAAAATTACTTTCTCACTAGATGTATGCTCATTAAGTACCACTTTCTTACTAGCATGCAAGACTGATGTTGTAAAATAAACAGAGCATTTACCCTTGTCTGTGCTGTTTAAACATCCTCCGTTACCATTCTGCATATCCTGCGTCATCTGTACCCTGCAAGCAGCCAAAAACAACAATTCATGCAGTAAAGTGTGATGACAATCACAGGCCACAACAAAATCAGAATTTAAAATTTAAAGAGCAATAAATGAATCGTAGGAAGGCCTGAGCAATTTTCAACACGCAGCCTGTTTTACATTCCACTTTGATTGGTTAAGCAGTTATTTTGCTAATTAGGTATTGCTTTGACCTCTTTCCACCAAACTGTTAAAAAAAAAATTGTATTTAAAGGGAAACTATAGTAGAATGGTTTTTGGTTATTTCTATTTTTTTTCTTAAGGTTTATGCATTCTTAAACAGTTCTTATATCTGTTTATACAATATAAATACACAATCTACAAATAAACATGGAATAGTAAGAACAATGACATACGAATAACAGAGCACTCTGGGGTACACAACAGATGCTGTCTGCTTGGATGCTCAGTGTGTCCGACAAAGAATGAGGCACTCCCAACTTTTTAGTCCTAACTATAATATATGCATGTGCACAAAATCACTATACGAAAAAAAAACATGCACTTGCATCCAGCTGAATTTTTTCTCTGATTGAGCTGTTCTTAGGGAGAGGTGTTCTAACTCCTAGTGCATTAGCAAAGTACAAGAATCAGTTCATATGAGCGCATAATTATAGTTAGTTCTGATTTAAAATTACTTGCAAGTCCCCTTTAAGCCTACAAATATTTAATTACACATGCTGCTGTGTTCTCCTTATGTTTGGAGAATGCAGTAAGAAAGAGAGTACCTTTCGAACTTCACAAAAGCAGCACCAGGAAAAGACAGAGATGGGAACTCCAGAGGAAAATGTTGCCAGTGGAGCCATCTAAACATTGAAGGAGGCAATGGGTACATTGAGCCCTCGTTCACACCTGAACGTTTTGTAGCGCGTTCTACACTCGACGAACGCTCTACAAAACGCTCAAAAATATAAATCCCATTGTATTCAATGGTCTCGTTCCCACCTTGGCTTATTTCCGCCCGTCCCTAACGTGCTACAAAACAGCCCACACCTGAAAAGGTACAGGTACTACTTTGGGCCGTTTTGTTGCGCGTTTCCATTGGGATACAGACAAGTAGCCTTCGGAAACGCGCAACTTTTTTACCGCGAACCGCGGTAAAAAACGCGCGACAGACGCGCATATGCAATACGCCTAGGTGTGAACGAGACCTTAGGCCACCACCTTCCACTCAAAATCAAAGTGCAGCTATAGTGGAAACTTTGCTTTAGTTTTGGATAGATATGACAATGGTTAAAACCCCTACAGATTAGTTTTAAACTCTTGTCTGTGTCCCTGGTCACCAGGCCACATAGAGAAGGCGAGTCTCCCCTTTAGGTACACATACAGTATATAGGAACCTGGTGTGTTAACTAGCCGAGTCTCCCCTATGAGTACACACAGTATATAGTAACTTGGTGGATTACTTGGCTGTCTGGCATGTGAATAAGGCAGAGACATTAAAAGGTATCCTCTTTTGAAAGGATAAAAGCAACTAGTTCTATAGACTATAAAACTTCTCAGAATGTAAAGGCCTTAATAAAATTGTCAACATTTTGTTTTCTGCCAGTTCTGCATAGGATTACTTACCTGTCTTGTGATGTTCGAGGTTCTCGACAGACATGGCCATCCCACCCACAATATGGGTTCCTGGCCAGGATACAGTCATAGCATGAGGTGTATCGGCTACATCCAGACAGCTGTAACTGCATGACTCCACTTTGTGCTCCAATATACAAACTATTCTGTAAGACAAGACAAGTTCTATTTATTACATGAATTTCAATTTTTAATTAGGAACTTGTTGGAACAAGACTTTCATTTGCGACCAGCATCTAATTAACTCTGCCTAATCGTTTAATATCATTAGGGAGGCCCAGAATTGCTGTGCTGGTAGTTTAGGTTTCAAAGTGGGTTCAATAAGTTCACTGTACAAGATGATTAGAATGACATGAAGATACAAGCTGTCTTCTTTCCAAATCCAAAACCAGCTTGAATTTCATGTAAACTGAAATAACACGAGCAGTAAACAAGCCCTGAGAGAACCCTCTTAGAATTGACAATTTGGTAGCAAACCAGAACAATTCACCAAGTTCAGTGAAACGGACAGGACATGGATTTGCATACAACAAGTTGATATATTCTAACTAAATAAGGAATTCAGTAGAGTTGGTTTGGCAAAATGTATCTTTCTAGTAAGGTGGAGATGTGTATTCCCACGACACTACCCAGATACCGCCAACTTTTCTACATGCCTTCCACTCTCTTGCAAGGCTCTATGAAGTGGACTAAAGGAAGCAAAATTTACAGACAGGTGAATGTTACAGATGTGTGTTGAATTTACTGATCAAGCAATCAAGCCTGTTGGAAGAATCCCATGCTCCTGCGCACACATCTGTTTGTTGCTGGAAGATGTAGGGCACTGAAGCTAAAACAAAAAATCTTCCCTTCCCTTCCCAAACCTTTCTGCCAAGCCTAAATTACTTGTGCACTTAATACAATCATCAGTAAACTAAAACTCCAATAATAGCAACAATGTATCCTGGATGTCCTTAAAGTGATATTAAAGCATTTTTTTTTAAATTTCTCCTTAAAGGGCCCTTTTTTGCTGGAGGCGGTTGCTTTTCTTTAAAAGTTTCAAATTCCTTGTTTTCTAGTGGCTCCCCGCAGCGCTCTTCCCCCCCCCCCCCCCCCCTGTCCGGGGGCCCCCAGTTTGC